ATGCTTTGAGTGGTATAATTCTATTTTGTTAATGCTTTGAGTGGTATAATTATATTTTGTTAATGCTTTGAGTGGTATAATTATATTTTGTTGATGCTTTGAGTGTTATAATTATATTTTGTTGATGCTTTGAGTGTTATAATTCTATTTTGTTGATGATTTGAGTGGTATAATTCTATTTTGTTAATGCTTTGCTATGAATTGGATTCAAAAACTGCGACGCATTGCATATTGGAGAGCAATAATTTTATTATAAACAATATGATAACAATATAAAACATATTTCAATAAACAAGTAAACAATAAATATATCGGAGGTCAAAAAATAAAAATGTCTCAAATATAAATATGAAATATGCATAGTGTAAGTGACGTAGATGTTAATGGTAATTGCATCTTGAAACAGATAATAACATAGGTGTGTTCGTTAGTTAGATACTTTAAAAAATGCTGAAAACGCTCTACTCATCATAAAAGGTCAGAAATGTACGTATTAGTGGCTATGTGATATATTTTAATACGGCGAAACTGCAACTAATAATGCTTTTGCAAATCAGAGGAAATAATAACAATGATTGGAATTATCAGAAACCAAGGAACAAATTGGAATCCTACTTCACTAAATTCCGCGATATTTAAGTGTTACTTTTATTGTTTGATCTCATAATAGTTTCAGAAAATCCAAAAACTAGAATTCATTTAGTGTTTGATGTAGTTTTTGCCTTGTAGTTTATTGGCAAATTGATTATTTATTTTAGTCAGAGTCATTTTCAATTACACTTTCCTATACTCGTGCACGCTACAGTAGGGGCTATTCATTCAGCTGCAATCGATACACAATTGAATACCCGGATGTCAATAAATTGTTTTCAAAAGTGAAAATCAAAATTCATCGCAATGCTCATACTTCTTTCGAAATTTGGTGTGTGTATTAATTTTTAGAAGACGTGTGTTTTGTAAATGAAATATGAACATTCGGTTGATCAACGTGTTCATAATTCTTTGAGAAGTTTTGAATAAAGAGTGTTTATAGGACACTTCCCTTTGTACAGTTCTACTTCCGGTACACTTCAGAAACGTATTTAAATTCTATTGACCTTAAGTATCACAGAAGTATCTTATATGTATTAGATGACAATATTATGCAGTTAAATATTTAGTTTTTTGATTTTCTGCGAATTATGAAATTAAAAAAGTGATTTTTCTCCCTTCAAATTTTGAGCGATCATTATTTTGACATCAGTGTGACGTAATATTATTGTAGTAACAATATTCTCACAGTATTGCTATAGTTAATAATCAACGATGTATTTACAGTTTCCTAATCCTCAAATATATCACAATTCTCAAATGACAGATGCTTCACATGAACATTAATGAATATCCAGCACAAATGACTTTAAAAGCACTTCCGATGAACAATTCCTGGCCCACATTCGTCATATTCCTGTTTTAAGATCCACATCTGTTGGAATGAAGACAGAGATCCTATAATAGACCCACCCATCCACACGGAGTACTTCCTCTCTGGTGGGGCGATTACCTTGACCTTCATGCTGCTTGGAATCATTGCGTCCATTTCCTTTTTCAGTCGGTCAGAAATACCTATGAAATGAAAAACACTTTCATTAACTAATGAACGAATGCTTTAAGAAATAACAAATATGAAGATGTTAAAACACCCAAACCCTCGTACATAAATTAATTATTGCCGATCATATAAACATACAAACCTGGAAACATCGTACTTCCGCCGGATACGACGACATTGCTGTACATGTTACGTCGAATGTCGACATCGCATGCCATGATTGAATTGTGGAGAAGTTCGTGAATTCCTGCTGATTCCATTCCTAGAATTGTAATAATTCTACATCAACACATGTGTTAGGAAGATAATTTAAGCCTCAAAAGTTCTGTTTTAATGTGTAGGAACCTTTCATATTCTAGCAGTAAGTTAATTCTAACATAGAAAAAAAAAAAAAAAAAATGCTTGTGTACTACTTTTATCGTTCGACTTTCATAAGTTTTCAATTATACTCCATTAGAGACATTTTTGTTTAAGGCAAAATGTGGTTTACTGAATTCACTGATAAAGTGTTCTTTAAAGTTTAGCTCCTTAATCCGTTTTTAAAATTGAAGAAAAATAAAGAAATATCTAAGCATTACCATTTCGTAAACGAGAAAATAATTAGACTTGAAATATGGCTATTAAGATTCTTATTTATAAAACCTGAACAGCACACAATAACACTTTCCTGTACTCCGGGTAAGGTTAGGAGTAATGAGAAAATGACTAAATTATAATTATCCAGATCTGCACACACATTTCCTTTACAGTAACATGACTGGTGATGACCTTAATGAATAAACACCCTCTAAACCTCCCTATGAATAAATAACCTCTAAACCTACCTATGAATGAATAACCTCTAAACCTACCTATGAATTAATAACCTCTAAACCTACCTATGAATAAATAACCTCTAGACCTACCTATGAGTGAAGGCTGGAAGAGTACTTCCGGGCACCGGAACCTCTCGTTACCAATAGTGATAAGTTGGCCGTCAGGTAGCTCGTAAGTCTTCTCTATTGTTGACGAGCTTGATGCAGAATCCATTTCTCTTTCAAAATCCAATGCCACGTAGGACAATTTTTCTTTTATATCTCGAACAACCTCTTGTTCCGCTGAAATTTAGATAGGTATTTAGGCTCACAGTTCCTTGACAATCAGTAGGCTATAGTGAATTTCGTATTTATAAACTCCTTTCAGATTTATAAACGCTGTTTACACAAGGTTTGCCTGTATGTTGGTATGTGAACCAGGAACACTGTTCCAAGATCCTGTTTCAGGTATATCTATAATTTATTTGATTTTTTTTTATGTTGATAATAAATTATGTGCATGTAATTCTATAAAATAAACATTGTAAAACGAAACGTGTTTTATTTCATATAATTTATCAACATTTATTAATAATGTTTAGAAAATTACACCAACCTGATGTTATGAAGTTGTATCCCCTCTCGTGGAGGATCCTCTGGAGGTAGGCTGTGAGATCACGACCTGCCAGGTCAACACGTTTGATGGCGTGAGGGAGAGAGTAGCCCTCGTATATAGGTACAACGTGTGACACGCCATCCCCGGCATCAAACACGATGCCCGTGGTCCGTCCGGAGGCGTACCAAGACAGCACAGCCTGTATCGCCACGTAGAAGGCGGGCGTGTTAAATGTCTCAAACATGATCTACAAAAGAAATGATTGAGAGTTATATGACAAAATGCAATGATTGAAAACAATATGATGTAAACATTTCCTTATTGAAAATATTACTGTTGTAAGATGCATACATCGTTTGGTTTCGTTTTATAATATTTTAACGCTGTGGTTTATTTATTTCTATTTTTTTCTATTTCTTTTTTTCACTTATTTACCTGTATCATTTTTGCTCTATTTTTCAATAATTTACCTGTATCATTTTTTCTCTGTTGGCCTTAGGATTTAGTGGCGCCTCTGTCAACATGACTGGATGTTCCTCGGGAGCCACACGCAGCTCGTTATAGAGGGTATGATGCCAGATCTTCTCCATGTCGTCCCAGTTGGTGACGATACCGTGTTCCACCGGGTAATTTAGAGACAGAATCTCACGTTTGTTCTGAGCCTCGTCCCCAATATAACAGTCTTTATTACCCATGCCCGGCATTATCATCTGAAATAGACATTTATACAAATAAGGTACAAATGAACTAAGGGTGTAAGTTTTTCACTGCAACCGACATACACTGGTGCATTAATTGTCCGTACTGGAGGCCAAAAAGTGTCAAATAGAAGCTAAATACACGTGTAAACAGGAGGGAAAGAACGATGGTCAACGCTTAACTCCTCATGATTAGTCGTTGTTGTATTCGTTAGGAAATAGTTCCTATAAGGTTAAAATAATCATTTCAATATGTTAATCGCAATGTTACACGCTCTGGCATCGCACTACTAGCGTTTCAGCAAGCGTCAAATAAGATAGAGATCCACAATAAATCTTAATATTATGATCCTTATTTGTTATCAAATTTGCCCTAACATCTCAAAATTTAATTGAATGTTTTGCTAAAGAATTTTTGTAAAAAAGAGTTTTACAACTTACATCGTATTGTGGTCGTCCAGTAATGGCGGGAAATACAGCATGTGGCGCATCATCTCCGGCAAATCCCGCCTTACACATTCCACTTCCGTTGTCAATGACAACAGCGGTGAAATCATCCTCAAAAACAGACATTTTCTTTGGTTTTCAAACTCGTGTCAAAAAATCTGAAGGCAAGAAATAATTCCAATACTTGGTTTAGCATAAAATGTATTAGACAAAATTGTTATTTTAACAAAATGTTCTTACACCATTTCAATATACATTTTTTTTCTTTTTTCTATGTTAATTTAAAGTTAATATTGCGTCCAAAAAGAGTTTATTAACATCACACTCGGTGAGTCTATGTCTTATATAGTATCTGTACTGATTAAACAAACCTTATTTCGGCTACTGTTTTTCCATATTTGGAATGACGTGAGTTTACCAGCCCTTAATAGGGAACGCTGACGCTGACACAAGTTACATGATCATTATCGACGCCCTTTCCCTATGTAAATAAATATCATATATATATACAATGAAATGTGTTCATTAGTGGCCTTTTTGTTTTTAACTTTCTCTGTGTCAAGATACAGATAATTAAGATTCATTTGGTTTAATAGTTTTTATAATAATGCAAAATTCTACCGTGTAAGTAAAGGATTATATTCAAATGTACAATGTCCTCCTTGTCGTGTAGAAGTGGTGTGTATGTGTGTTGTTGTTTAATTGTTTAATTTATGTACACTGTCCTCCTTGTCGTGTAGAAGTGGTGTGTATGTGTGTTGTTGTTTAATTGTTTAATTTATGTACAATGTCCTCCTTGTCGTGTAGAAGTGGTGTGTATGTGTGTTGTTGTTTAATTGTTTAATTTATGTACACTGTCCTCCTTGTCGTGTAGAAGTGGTGTGTATGTGTGTTGTTGTTTAATTGTTTAATTTATGTACAATGTCCTCCTTGTCGTGTAGAAGTGGTGTGTATGTGTGTTGTTGTTTAATTGTTTAATTTATGTACAATGTCCTCCTTGTCGTGTAGAAGTGGTGTGTATGTGTGTTGTTGTTTAATTGTTTAATTTATGTACAATGTCCTCCTTGTCGTGTAGAAGTGGTGTGTATGTGTGTTGTTGTTTAATTGTTTAATTTATGTACAATGTCCTCCTTGTCGTGTAGAAGTGGTGTGTATGTGTGTTGTTGTTTAATTGTTTAATTTATGTACACTGTCCTCCTTGTCGTGTAGAAGTGGTGTGTATGTGTGTTGTTGTTTAATTGTTTAATTTATGTACAATGTCCTCCTTGTCGTGTAGAAGTGGTGTGTATGTGTGTTGTTGTTTAATTGTTTAATTTATGTACAATGTCCTCCTTGTCGTGTAGAAGTGGTGTGTATGTGTGTTGTTGTTTAATTGTTTAATTTATGTACAATGTCCTCCTTGTCGTGTAGAAGTGGTGTGTATGTGTGTTGTTGTTTAATTGTTTAATTTATGTACAATGTCCTCCTTGTCGTGTAGAAGTGGTGTGTATGTGTGTTGTTGTTTAATTGTTTAATTTATGTACAATGTCCTCCTTGTCGTGTAGAAGTGGTGTGTATGTGTGTTGTTGTTTAATTGTTTAATTTATGTACAATGTCCTCCTTGTCGTGTAGAAGTGGTGTGTATGTGTGTTGTTGTTTAATTGTTTAATTTATGTACAATGTCCTCCTTGTCGTGTAGAAGTGGTGTGTATGTGTGTTGTTGTTTAATTGTTTAATTTATGTACAATGTCCTCCTTGTCGTGTAGAAGTGGTGTGTATGTGTGTTGTTGTTTAATTGTTTAATTTATGTACAATGTCCTCCTTGTCGTGTAGAAGTGGTGTGTATGTGTGTTGTTGTTTAATTGTTTAATTTATGTACAATGTCCTCCTTGTCGTGTAGAAGTGGTGTGTATGTGTGTTGTTGTTTAATTGTTTAATTTATGTACAATGTCCTCCTTGTCGTGTAGAAGTGGTGTGTATGTGTGTTGTTGTTTAATTGTTTAATTTATGTACAATGTCCTCCTTGTCGTGTAGAAGTGGTGTGTATGTGTGTTGTTGTTTAATTGTTTAATTTATGTACAATGTCCTCCTTGTCGTGTAGAAGTGGTGTGTATGTGTGTTGTTGTTTAATTGTTTAATTTATGTACAATGTCCTCCTTGTCGTGTAGAAGTGGTGTGTATGTGTGTTGTTGTTTAATTGTTTAATTTATGTACAATGTCCTCCTTGTCGTGTAGAAGTGGTGTGTATGTGTGTTGTTGTTTAATTGTTTAATTTATGTACAATGTCCTCCTTGTCGTGTAGAAGTGGTGTGTATGTGTGTTGTTGTTTAATTGTTTAATTTATGTACAATGTCCTCCTTGTCGTGTAGAAGTGGTGTGTATGTGTGTTGTTGTTTAATTGTTTAATTTATGTACAATGTCCTCCTTGTCGTGTAGAAGTGGTGTGTATGTGTGTTGTTGTTTAATTGTTTAATTTATGTACAATGTCCTCCTTGTCGTGTAGAAGTGGTGTGTATGTGTGTTGTTGTTTAATTGTTTAATTTATGTACAATGTCCTCCTTGTCGTGTAGAAGTGGTGTGTATGTGTGTTGTTGTTTAATTGTTTAATTTATGTACAATGTCCTCCTTGTCGTGTAGAAGTGGTGTGTATGTGTGTTGTTGTTTAATTGTTTAATTTATGTACAATGTCCTCCTTGTCGTGTAGAAGTGGTGTGTATGTGTGTTGTTGTTTAATTGTTTAATTTATGTACAATGTCCTCCTTGTCGTGTAGAAGTGGTGTGTATGTGTGTTGTTGTTTAATTGTTTAATTTATGTACAATGTCCTCCTTGTCGTGTAGAAGTGGTGTGTATGTGTGTTGTTGTTTAATTGTTTAATTGATGTACAATGTCCTCCTTGTCGTGTAGAAGCGGTGTGTATGTGTGTTGTTGTTTAATTGTTTACTTTATGTACAAAGACCTCCTTGTCGTGTAGAGGTGGTGTGCATGTGTGCTGTTGTTTAATTGTTTAATTTATGTTGCACTGTATATATGCACAACTGATGAGCTGTTAAGCTTTAGGAAATGAAAGAACTTGAGTTTGAATCGAGGTGATCATCGTTCAATTAAAATAACTAAAATTTCTTTACTGATATGATGAAAGATAACATTTTCTATTTATGCATGTATTGTCTGTAAATAGCGAATGTATGCATGAGGGTATTGGCTTTTGTTTTCTATGGGTAGTTTTTGTTCGAGTTTTTTAACATCAAGCATGTAAATGTAAATAGAACAGACTCTACAAACCAGTTCATTCCAAGTAGAAATATAAAATGTCATAATAACATTGCTTTATAATTCGAATATTCATATTAGTAATTCGTATGGGCACATTGCACAATATATAATAATATCAGTAAGATGTATTGATCTGTTGAGTTAACGGAATGATATGGTAAATAGATGCTTTGGAAATCTACCAAAACGGTTGAAATCACGGTAAGACCAGCCTGGAGTGTTAGCAATTATTTATCGAGATAGCGTTTTATAAACAGATGTGTGTAAATCGTGTCATTGATGATGATTAAGATATTGTAATTCGACACATGTGAGTGGGACTTTATGGTTAAAACTTTAAAAACATTTGGATTTAATAACTCTTTCATCTCATGGATAAACACTTTGTATTCAAATAGTTCTAGTTGTATGTTAAACAATGGGTGGAAATCAAAAATTTTTAAAATAGAAAGAGGCATAAGGCAGGGTTGTCCGGCCTCGGCTTTAATTTTCGTAGCCATAGTTGAAATCCTAGCCCTTAATATCCGCAATAACAACAATTTAAGAGGGATAAAAGTAAAGGGGTTTTTGAAAGAACAAAAAATAAGCCAGTTAGCAGATGACACCACCCTGTTTATAAGTTCACCACACCACATACCAATAGCGTTGCAAATAGTATTAGAATTTGGGGAGGTATCAGGCTTAAAATTAAATAGAAACAAAACTGATGGTCTTTGGATTGGAAAACTAAAAAATTCTAAAAGAAAGATAGGCGGAATAAACTGGCCAGAAGAACCAATAAAGTCACTAGGG